CATCTCTTTGTCCTTCCAATTTCAGTTCTTAAATTCATTAATCAATCCTTTCATTTATGTGATAAGCCTGCATTTAAAATGAACATTTACCATAAATTAAAGGTATCTTATATTATTAGATATATTATTATAAAACATGTTTTAGTTAAGGAGTTATTGATACTTCAAGTACAAAATGATGATATAAAATCATGATAAAAATGCACTTTTAAGTACTAATCACCTGCATTTAAGATGAAAATTTATCATAAATTAAAGATATCTTATAGTATCAAACTTGTTATTATAAAACATGTTTTAGTTAAGAAGTTATTGATACTTTAAGTGCAAAATACTGATATAAAACCTTAATAAAAATGCACTTTTAAGTACTAATAAAAAATTAAAGAATTTGTTTTGCAAGTAACACCAACTAACATAATCCAATTTGTTATTAATAAAAATACACTTTTAAATATTAATAAAAAAATCAAAGAATTTGTTTTTGCAAATAACACCAACTAACGTAATCCAGTTTGTTGTTAGTTGTAGAAAAGCTCCAAGATCCATTAAGGTTTTTTTTTTTTTTGAATTTTAGCAATCGATTATCTAATAAATATCAACAAAATTATTAATACCCTTAATTGATTAGTATGATATATACATTTAATAAAATTCATTTAAATGATGAAAATCATGTTAAAAAAATGAAGAACTCGCAATGCAATATAATATCCATTGCAGTGTTTTCTTAATCTATTAAATTAAGTAAAGTAAACAAGTTGACATTGATACACCTTTAAAATTCTCATATAATTTATTTAAATAATTTGAAGTATAATTAAAAGAACTAATAAAGTTATTAAACCTTATTTATATTTTTTTTATAGGTCAATATCCATAAAAAAAAAAAAAACTCTTGAGAACCTTACTTATAGTTTTATTCATAGTTATAAAATCTAAATTTAAAGTTAATTTAATTTGAATTTCAAGTTATGAATTAGATAGATTAAAATAGATCAATCTAAACTTAAGTTTTTTTTAAAAAAAAAAAGAAAAACCTCTAAAGGAATGTCATTTTAGAGGGTTTTTTTTTTAAAAAAAAAGCCCAAAATGACTTGTTTTGGTAAAAGAAATGGGATTTTTTTTTTAACTAATTTGCTCTAAGTTAGGCCTTGAGTTAATTAATTGATATTTTAATTGACTCGTCAGGTGTGTAGGATTTTGTTAAATAATAATCACAGATATAATCAATTGGACTGCATATACAAGTAGTAATTTAGGGGAAAAATAATATTAATAAAAGTTGAACCAAAGACAAGAGTAAAAGAGCCAAAAAGTTTGTAAAGCCACGAATACGCCAATGCATGTGGCTAAGACCTACCCGGTCTTTTTATTGGTAAAGTTATAATTTAGTCCCTTTATTTAATCTAGTTACAAGTTAGTTCTTTATATTGCTGTAACCTATAATTTAACTCCTTGACTCTAATTGACCGTTGCCTTATCAAAACGTTGATTGGTTTTGCTTCAACATAAATTATTTGGTGTTTAAATAAGAATTAAAATCACCAAATGGTGTATTTGGAATGTAGAAAAAATAGCCAACATATGTTTTGACAAGGCAACGGTCAACAATTGTCAAGGATCGAGTAATAAATTAACAAACATGAAGGACTATATTATAATACAATTAGAAAGAAAGGACTAAATTATAATACACTCTTTTTTTTATTCTTTTTGCATTTGGGACGTAGGCCTGAGTAATCAAGATTTCACTGGCCTTCTTTATTATTTTCTAATTTAAAGCCACCGATTAGGACTCTTTATTTTCAGTTTTGTAAATTAAATTAAATTTAATTGATCAGGGCCTCTTCTTCAGTCTACGGTTTCTTTGTTCAACCAGGTCATGCTTTTGAGGTCTTCATTGAAAAATCTAGGACAGACTTATCAAACATGTGTGTTTTGCACGGGCAGTGATCGACAGTTTTATAAGGTATGTTTGAGGTTATTTTCATTTTACTAAGCTTCCTTTTTTGGATACCTTCTGCTTTCTTGGGTTAGTTGGTTTTGATATTCGACTTCCTGCTGGTCTTTTATTTTTTCATTCTTGGGGTGAAGCTCTGGAGGGAGAGAACCCATTTGATAGTTTTGGTGAAGAGGTATAGCTGTAGAAAATATGGGGCTGTTGGATATTTTCATGACTTGTTGCATCAGTAAGTAATATTTATGGTGGGATTTGCTAGCTTTCAATCCGAGCTTAATTTATGGTTCTATGATGATAAGCAGTGATGTTATAGGTACGTAGAAGATATGAGTAGACACAGAGTGTATTAGGAAAAAGATAGACAGTGCCTTGCAGAGGACTCTTGATTGCATTTCTTCCCCAAGCTGGTTCTTGTACATAACTTGTGGCTTTATGTTGACTGATTCAAGGAAACACAGTTTACTGGGATTTGGAAGTAATGAATGGCTTGTATTTTGTTTCAAGTTGTCATCATCAAATGTGTTGTTATTTAATGCATTTGAATGATGAACACAACGAATTTGCACTGTTTTGCTTTTTTTGCTAAAACGCACGCTAACCAGAGGAATAGGAAAGGCTAGAGATGAATATCCTTGAAACTTAGTTGAAAGTTTCTGTTTCGGAAAGCAGGTGATGAGCAGCAGAGTTTTGTCTGGTCATCTCCCTTGTTTTTCCAAGTTTTGTGATTCTCTCTTTCATGTCTCTCCTGTTAATTGGCGACTTCTGAAATTTGTGTTACAAATGCCAAATTGTAAAATTGCCTTTCGGACCTTGTTTTTCCCTCTGGTTCATAGTACAAATATGTATTTTCTTAGGTTTGTCTTTGCCAAGGCATCGTTGCCTTTTCATACTTGAAAATACGTGCTTTCTTGCGATAACCTGCTCAGTTGAATGCTGCTTTCAGCGCCAAAAATTATGCACGGTTACAATCTTTGTTTGTTACTTTATAACTCTGCCCCGGTTGGTTTAGTCCTTTACTTCTGTTTATACATACTTGCATTGTAAAAAACACCTGGATCCTTTTTTTTTCTTCCAGATTTTTTTATGAGAGATTATGTAAACTATTTATATCTAAAATGCTGGAAAATATGAATATTTTGTTTCTAGTTTATGTGATCTTGTTCCTTTCCGATTCAATAAATTATAATCCTTGGCATCCTTGGCAAGTAAGCATTTCCAGCCTTAATACTAACAGGCATAGGGAAGGAAAAGAGAGAAACCATATTTATTATCATTGTTATTGTTGATGAAATATGTGCTTTCTGGCATGACTAGTCCAACTTTTCTGAGTAAAGTTTTACATGATATTTTTGTTTGTTTATGGCAGTGAGCCTGCTGAACTTCTCAAATCAAGATGTTTTCATTGTCTAAGTTTCAAAAGAGACCGGAGAATGGTTCATAAAGGTGATTTGGTTGTTATTGGAATCTCTGTTGGTTTGGCCCTTGGTATCTTGATCGCTTCACTCATATTTTTCGGCATATGGTGGTACAAGAAGCGTTCTAATCTCCGACAGTGCTCAAATGAGCGTATTCTTCCAACTCTTCCAATACGCATGAATGGCTTGGGGACAAGCAATGACTTTAGTGCATCCCTTGCAAGTTCTATTACCATCCAGGGATCAGAACACCCTCAGAAAAGCTCTCCGGTTTCTTCTTGGTGGAATCATCACAGTAAAGATCAGTTTGCTTCTTCATCAGGCATACTTAGATACTCTTACAAGTACGTAAATCTCTAAAAAGCAAGCGAAGTTCTGTTATTGTGCTGCATTAAAATTCAACTTATGATACGTGTATTAACTCTCTTTTTTTCCTGGTTACTTCATTAACTACTGGTTACTTCATTAACTACGTAGAAGTTCATTTCTATATCTATTTCTTAATAAAGAAAAAGAATCCACCCCTCGTACTCTACTGAAAGATATACCTCTTGATAATCCTACACAATTGTCTTTGATTTATATATTGGTTCCTTTTCTATTCAAATCTCCATAGTCAAGAGAGTAGTGCTGTGATAACGGTAACCAACCTCTGGTTTACCGTAGATTTGATTTTGGGTCCCCGCCAACTTTCTTATGGTAAACCCAAGTAGACAATACATGTAGTTGATGTATTGTAAAGCATAAGTTTATGTCCCAATTTGTTGGTTTTTCTTTTCCAGGGATATACAGAAAGCTACACAAAAATTCACAACTGTTTTGGGACAAGGTTCGTTTGGTCCTGTATATAAAGCTGTCATGCCTACTGGAGAAGTATTAGCTGTAAAGGTTCTTGCTTCTAACTCAAAGCAGGGGGAAAAAGAGTTCCAAACAGAGGTACTACATTGCAACACTTGTACTCTAGTATATGCAGAACATATAATTACTGCAAGAGATGCCTTTCTGGCATGATTAAGAAAGCCTTCTCATTCTACACTGACAGATATGATTGTACTGGGCCCTTCTTTTTCTATATACTATAATACAATTTATAAATTTTGAAGGCATTTTCTAAGATAATAATGATCTACAATGCTCTAATGATATTTCATCTTTTCTAGTATTGGCTTGCATTTTTTTAATATAACAAGGAAAAACTGTCAAACAATGATAAAAGAAGATTGATCATCACAGGGAACATTCTGGGCAAACAAGGTCTGTTTGACTATTTGTTCATAAAAGCTACTGAACTCTGTGATGTTCATAGATCAATTACACGAATCCAATGAAAGGTTCCTGTTTCAAAAGATACTCACCCAAAGTTTTGGGAAAATCAGGAACTACATACAGAAAGCCAGGCTTTTGGAGCTTTCATTGCTACCCTTTTTAGCAAATTTTGCATTTATATCTACAAAACTTTGCAAAAACTTCATTTAATGCTATCTGAAGTTCCTAGAAAGCATATTGAGTGTTCATTTTTTAGCCTGGTCCTGCAGATTTCTCTATTAGGAAGGCTGCATCACCGCAATCTTGTGAATTTGTTAGGATATTGTATAGATAAAGGAAGCCACATGTTGATCTATCAGTTCATGAGCAATGGAAGCTTAGCAAACCACCTTTACAGTAAGCTAAAAAGTCCTCGCTTCTTTCATTATTCTTTGTGATGAACCATCTGCTAGTATTTGTGATGAACCATGTGCTGGTATGTAACCACCAATACAAAAAGAGCATTTCTAGATTAAAATTGCAATGAATATTATGGTGTAGGGATGTCATCCGTTTTTTGGTTGTACTGATTTGTGTGGTGGTAATATTACAATCATCTTGAGCATATGCCAACATTGTTGGTTTGCTGCTTGCGAATACTTTTAGGCCAGTTTATTTTATGGAAATTAGTTATTTAAAAATTATTTTCTAAAGTTTTCAATGTTTACTTGCCATCATGAAAAAAAAAATGATTAATAAAAAATGTTTTTCGAAAAATTTAGTTTAATTTACATAAAAATATTTTTGTTTATTTTAAATGGAAAACACTCTCTGAAAATTGTAAAAATATCTTGTTATTTATTAATTATATTAAATTTTATATTTAATTTTTTGATTGCTATATATTTTGTTTTAAATTGTTTTCAATTTCTTTCTTAGAATTTGATTTGTATATCAATCTTGATTTTTATTATTTTGATTGTTATTGTTTTTCTCTTAATTTTTAATTGAAATTTTTTATCTATCATTTTTTTCTATTTTTTTATTGCTATATATTTTATTTGAAATAATTTATGAAATTGAATTTTTTTTTAATTTCATTATCTTTTAATTTTTTTATCTATCAGATTTGTTTTTATTTTTTTATCGCTATTTGTTTTAATTAAAATAATTTATGACATTAAATTATTTTATTTTTAATTTTATTTTTTCAACTTTTTTATTTGTCAAATCTAGTTTTTATTTTAATAAATTTGAAAAAAAATTAAAAAGTTAATTTTCAACTTATTTTTTATGATGCAGTCAAAAACTAAAAATTATTTTTCAATTTATTTGTTATAATATTAACAAATATTAAAAAATAATTTACTTTTAAAAAATATAGTTTCTATATAAACCACTTTTTGACTATTCAATTCCTTGATAATAAACATTCCGACTGTGCATGTTGCCAGATGATGAAGAGCGATTTTTGAGTTGGGAAGAAAGACTTCAAATTGCTCTTGATATTTCGCATGGAATTGAATATCTTCATGAAGGGGTAGGTTGAATACAGAATCTCTTTGTTCTCTCGGTCGAATGCTGGATTTGCTTGTTCCATTAATATTGCCATTATTCTGGCTCAGGCAGTCCCACCTGTTATACATCGTGATTTGAAGTCAGCAAACATATTGCTGGACCAGTCAATGAGAGCTAAAGTAAGCTAGCATGCTCAAATTAACTGATTTATTATGCACAGTATTATTACCTATACATCCCTAGATCCACAAATTTAAAAAAAAAAACCACCATCTTGGGATTTGAAACTTTAATCTCTGCATGCAAAGTGGAGATCTTTAGTTAATTGAATTTTGAGATGTTGGTGATGAGCTTTTGCAGTTAGCATATCGTTGTTTACAGTGATATTTTCTTGAGCACGAATATCTAAAAATATTAGTTACTAGAAAACATAGATCAAGTTTCATGTTGTGTGTTTCTATTATTGACCTCTGCTGCTGCTCTCATGGTAGGTTGCTGATTTTGGACTTTCAAATGAAGAGGTCTTCGATGAGCACAACTCTGGCTTGAAAGGTACTTATGGCTACATAGATCCAGTGTACGTATCCACAAACAAGTTCACCGTGAAGAGTGACATCTACAGTTTTGGTGTTATCATCTTCGAACTTATTACAGCCATCCACCCACATCAAAATCTAATGGAGTATGTTGATCTTGTGAGTCTCGTGCTCTGTTCTAACAAATAGATGACTTTCTTTTAATAACTTACGATTGTCTGAACCCAAAATGTTCTACTTTTGTGGTTTCTATTTTCCCACACCTTCAAGGCTGGTATGAGTCCAGATGGTGTTGATGAAATACTAGACAAGAAGCTGGTTGGAGAATGCGACATTGAAGAAGTGAGGGACCTAGCTGCCATTGCCCACAAGTGCCTGCAAAAATTCCGAAGGAAGCGACCTTCAATAGGAGAAGTTTCACAGGCTATATTGAAGATAAAACAAAGGCTCCTCGATAAGGACATGTCTAAAGAATTTTCACGAGTTCTAAGCAGGATAGAGGATCAACAGGTGGAGTTGAGTAGGATGGCCAGCATAAAAGATGGCGGCTGAATGCGCAGAGTATCCTTTTGATCAAGGGCGTAGGCATGTTAAAGAGGTGGATATGCTATTGCCCAGGTAAAGATTTTATTAATGTCTTTTTATTAGTTTTATGTAAAAGACATTGAATTATCAAAAAATTCTTAAAATTTATATGGAGCTTTTTAATATGATGCTTTAATTTAGATTAAAATTTTAAATTTTTTTGAGAAATTCAGAAATTTGATGAAAAATTATAATTTGATCAGTTTTATGTTATTAGATATAATTTTCAATCCGACAATCAGATTAAGCTGAAATTTTATGAGGGATCTTAAAATATATTGAATAAAATCTAGTTAAAATTTTAGGATGAACAGAGATTGATAGTGCTAAAAAAAAACCACCAAATAAAAATAAAACAACTCATTAAGGGTAAAATGATTATTTGCTATTAAAAAATAAAATAAATTGGCTCTTTCTTTCTTTTATTTATTGCTGATGGGGCAGATGAAGAATAGAAAAATAAAAGGAAAAAAAAGACAAGAAAAAGAGAAAAAAAAGTAAGGGAAAAACATAAAAAAATCAAGTAAAAAAATAAAAAAAGTGAGAATCAAGTGAAGGAAGGAGGAATTGAGAGAGAAAGAAATTAATTATTTTATTTTTCAATTGACATGAGATTATTATTTTAATTCAATTGAAGGATTGTTATAATATCAATTTAGTTTTGATTAAAGATAAATTATATTCTATAAAGCATCAATATATGTAACTTTAATAGTAAATTTATTTTTATTTTTATTTTTATTTTTATTTTATATATTTTTAAATTTATTTTTTAATATTTTAGATAATATATTTGAATTAAAATTTCATTATAAACTTCAAAAATTTATGTACAAAAAATAATAATTAATTTTAAAAAAATTATATATTTATATAATAGTCTAAAACAAGAAAAATTTACTAGTCTCTTCCCGCTCAACTTTAGTCAAGCCATCACGACGTACTACGATTAGTTCTTTCAGAGATGATAATGGGTATGTACACATCATAGGTTTATTCGTATTGAAGGATTTAAATCTCCCGAAAATAATGCAGCAAATAATGATAGAGTAGATATTACAAATAATATCAAGCCAAATTAAGTCGTAAGCACCTCCATCCTCTGTTGATAATGCTGCAGATATGTACACCAAGAATCAAGTTGTTAACTATATATCAAGTAGCAGGAAAGGAGTAACGTAATTTAGAGGAACTTTCAAATTTTATACCATTTCAAATCTCACAAAAATATATCTTCTAAATTGTATTATGACAGTAATGTTTTGTTACCGATATAAAAAACTTAAATAAATAAGTTATTTAGTTATAAAAAAAATCTTTTAAAAACTTTTCAAAATATAAAAAAACAATTAAAACAATCAAACTTAAAATAAATCATTAATTTAATAGATTACTAAGAAATATTTTCAACTATAAATCTTTTATAAACTACTTTGTCAAGATAAATACTTTAATTTATCTTTGAACACAGTAGCTTGACAAAACACCTAGCAAAATATTCTTTTTAAGAATTTTCTTCACACTTAAGTCGTGTGTCAACAAGAATATATACTATAAAACTTTATATAACTCCTTAGCTGGTTGGGTACTCTTATTCCACTGCAAGTGATGCTCTAATATATGCATCTAATTATCATTTCTTATATACATATCTATATGATAAGGATAAGAACATTTGGGAAACATTATCTTCAAGTTTCCTAATTTGTTATGTCCTTAACAGATTACTAACATGTTTTACTAACACTTCTCTTACAGTTATTTTAAGATAACTTGTATTTATCTTCTTTTGATAAAATTTATCTGAACTTTCTAAATAATTTATCCAACCAAACTAGATATTTATAAAAATAATGATGTTATATCATATAAGATAAACTTGACTAATCTTTTATTTAATTTGAATAAACTAATAAACTAAATAAATTCATCTTCATCAACGTAAATAATCTTTCATTAATCAAAGTTAATCATTTCGACATTTACAATATTCCTTTTTAGTTGATCTGTGACAGAATATAATAAGGATGAATCAGTATGCAAGTAATTTAAATAGCTCAATCATAAACATATACTTCATTAAAGTATAAATATAAGCACAACTAAAATAATATTACGTAGTATGGAAATAGTTAATAATATTTATGCAATAATATCCTAATAGTTCCTAACATGTTTCATACAAACATTACATAACATATTCAAAGAATACTTTATGTAGCATGTTGCATCCTAACATTTCATAATATGTTAAAAAACTATAATGCGTCAAATATTGTTATACAACTGCATGCATCAAGTTTAAAGTGCATCAAGTATTCAACATAAAGGTTCCTATGCTACCAAAAAAAATATCCAATTTATTACATACCAGAATAGTCAACATTCAAAATTCATTAGTGATTAAAAATTAATAAACTTTTAGAAAAGAAAAAAAAAGTATGATAATTGCTAGTCTTATTGCTTGCTTCCTCCTCTTTCTACTTTGCATCTCTTTCATGCATCCTTGTCTTCCCCTTTAATTTGGCACCAATCCTAGTCTTCATCGTCACCAACAATAAACTGATGCACTTGTTTGACATCTAAGTCGAGTTGAATAAATCTATCATTAACCTACATAATATCTTGTGGCATGTTTATTAGTAACTTGCCAACTATGTTAATTTTCTATTTCTATTTACGAGTAAAACTATCTAACTTGTTTGATAGTATTTGTAATTTTTCAATTATAAGGAGTAGAGGGTTGGTTTGAGGAGTTTTGGGCTGAAAGGAGTTAGACTCTCAAAGAAGTGATCTTTTTTCACTAACCACAACTTTAAATTTAACAATAGTTATGTTTGAGATTTTTCTAAAAATCTTGATTATTAGCTCACTATTACACAAAGATACTTTGATCATGATTGCTACCCTAGATATTAATTCATTAAAGGGTAGACTCACTTCCTTTTCAGGTAGACTCACTTCCTTTTCAGTTGTAGATTTTTGTATGACATCAATAAAGTGAGTGGCTCGGTTGATAGGAACATTAATAGCAGTAACATACATGAAACGCTCAACGGACCTTTCTGGGCTTTGAATTGATGCAAAAGCAATTTTTTTGTGCAACATTAAAGTATTCAAAGGCATCTTTTATTCCTTTTAATATTAATGTTTTAATATAAGAGTAAGAGAAAATAAAATATAAAATCTAGAAAATATATATTTTCTACTGTCTGTATCTGTGTATCATTTATTCTATTCCTATGAAATACCAGATAAAAAGTAAGGATCTTAGAAGGGAAGGGATATAATGAAATTCATGAAATTCTTCGATTGTGTCTTCCCACAGAAATGATCCTTTTTATTTGACTGATGGAGACAATAAATAATTAGTTATAACAAATTAATATAATTATAAGAAAATAATTATAAGAAATAAAAATATAACAAATACTAAAAACAAATATCATTCTTAAATGTCAACTCAGTATGTCTTTCAATAGGCCAAAGGTTTATTAGCATAATTTTTGCAAACAATTGGTAAAGATGTAGCATAGTGTTTATAGACAGTTTATGTGTTTTAGCAGACCATTTCGGTCCTTTAAAACCAACACGCATATCACTCATACAAGTCTTTAAGGGGGCTTTTATTCCTTTATAAGAAAAGCTAGAATATGTGATTTAAGATAGCTCATATAACTTCCTAATGATAGTAGGAGACAACTTAAGAGTTTAACTTCAAACAGTAAAAGTAATGGAGTGGTCATAAATATTAAAAGGCTCATAATTGACATAAAACTCCCTAACTACTTCAATATATAGAGCAATTTCTCCTTCATTCTATTTAGCTCATTATCTTTTCGTAAAAATGTCTCCTATGAATGCATATATAGGGTAAAAAAAGATCATTTACCAAAACTTCTTTTTCACCTAATATGTTTTTTTTTTTAAAGAAGTTGCTTTTGTAAACCATTTATACACTAAAGGAAATGAAGTGATTAGTTTTTCCAAACTATGTTATATATTTAAAGGAACTAGCCAACGTTTTGTCATCTTCTTTTGTCTTTTGAATCTTAAAGAGCTAGCTAGATTAGAGTCTATTCGGGGAATGAGATCTAATGTTCTTCCTCATTGAAAGAGCTTAAAATAAGGGTTTTTAGGTTTCTTCTTAGTATTTACTTTATAACATCCCTTTAACAAGAAAATTCATTAATCATTTTTAGAAACAATAAATCAAAAGAAGTTTGTGCTACAAAAATAGTGCATGAATTGTTGTAAAGACATTATTTTTAATAATCTTCTCAAGAAATTTCAAATCATGATAGGATATCCTTACCATTTTTGCAGAAAGTTAAATGTAAGATGGAGAAGATAAGCATATGTTTTGTCTCATAAATTTCTTTTCTATTTATCAAAATATGTTAAGGATAAAGAGATTTTCTAGGAAAATTACGAGATAAGTGCCTTAAAACTAGAAACAAAGAGAGCAAGAGAGAGAGATAATAATGATTGTGTGTTTTAATAAACAAAATCATTAATTCAACTCTAAAACAATTATTTTTCTCATGTTCCTACTCACATCAAGCTTTGTGATATGCACTTATAGTCTCTCTTAAGGTGATACGTCAATGTTATGAAAAATATTATCTTTTTAGACTAACCATTCCTCCTTTTGTTTCACAAATTAGTTAGGCCACATCATTTCACATTTTTTTCCTCTTACAAGTGTATCTAATTGTACACTTTGGTAGAGATATAGACCTACATAAAGCAATCTAATTTTCTAACCTAAAAAAACTCATAATTGATAATTTGAAATGAGATATTTACCTCACTACTCAATCTTCATTCATAAACATATATCTTTTTAGTTGACCAAATCAGAATTTGAGTGTATGAGTGAGAAAGACAACAATTCTGCTTTAAAAATTCTTTTTTTCATATTCTTCTCTTTGATCTAAAATACACTAGCAAGGTGTGAGCATATCTTGAAAATCAAACTTTATGTCAAGGCCTAGACATAAAAGATTTTCACTTGTAACATAAGATTTGATGAACTTTATCATTTCTATTATGGAATTACCC